TTATCTTTGGTTTTGGCAAGTTTGATTATAATATGTCTTGGTGACTTTCTTTTGGGATCTACCTTGTGTGGGGTTCGATGAGCATCTTGGATAGATGTCTTCTCATCTTTCATGATATCAGGGAAGTTTTCTGACAACAAATCTTCAACAATTCTCTCTGTATTTTCTCTTAAACCTCCCCGTTCTGGTACTCCAGTCAGTTGTAGGTTATTCCTCTTGATCGAGTCCCAGATAATTCTTAGTGTTTCTTCATTTTTTTATGTTCTTTTATTTGATTTTTCCTCAAATAAGTTGGTGTCAAGTGCTTTATATTCAGTCTCACTAATTCTGACTTCCATTGTCTCAATTCTGCTCCTATGACTTTCTTTTGAGTTGTCTAATTCTGAAATTTTATTGTTAATCCTCTGGATTTCTGTTTTCTGTCTCTCTATGGATTCTTGCAGCCTGTTAAATTTGTCATTATGCTCTTCTATAACCTTCTTAAGTTCCTCTATTGCTTTGTCTGTGTGTTCCTTGGCTTGTTCTGCATATTGCCTCATTTCTTTCTTGATCTCTTGAAGAGTTCTGTACGTTAATCTTTTTATTCTACCTCTGGTAATTCCAAAGAGTTCTCTTCCTTTGGAAAATTTCTTGATTCTTTGTTTTGGGAGCTTGCTGAAGCCATCATGGTCTACCTCTTTATGTGATTTGATATTGACTGTTGTCTCCAAGCCATCAATAAGTTATTATATTTATTTATTTTATGTTTGCTTACTATTTCCTAGTTTCTTGTTTTGTTTTGATATGCCCAAATAGCCTGCTCTTGTGAGCTAGTATCATTATTGGCACCTTTGAAGCTCTAACGTCGTGTCACCAGGTGGTTAGATCTGTTACTAGGTATGTGAGCCCACAAGTCCGTTTACTTTTCTTGTATGGATTCAGCTCAGGTGTGCAGCTAGTTGGTCACCAAGTGTGTGGTGCAGGCTCTCACCCACAGTCTTAGATGGGCATGGGTGATTAGTGTAGGCACAGGTATCTGGCTGCAGTAGGGGGTCATGCGCTGAACAAGGCAGGGGGCTGACGGCTGCCCCTGAGTGTCTGAGAGGAAAGCACGTCCCTGTTCCCTAGAGCGTATAGGTGGGTGGGTTTTGCAGCCGGACTATGAGCACCCAGTGCTGTTGGCTGTAAGGACTGGGAGGCACCATTTATTCTTGGGCCCCTGTTGCAGGTGGCTAGGTGGTGTAGGTGGAGCCACCAGTCCTCAGGCCCCTGATGTGGGTAGGTTAGGATCCTGGTTAATGGGCAGAGCGGTGTCAAATGTCACGAACCTGCCACTCCACCATATAGCTGACAGTTGAAGTTAGGCTTCAGGTATATACCCTGTTGTACTGTGTTAATGAGGGCCTATGCTGTTGAAATGGGCCCACACAAGTCTGTGCAGGAGTGAAAGGCATTCAAAGTCTGTGGACCCCTTATGCCTGTGCCTAGGCAAAGGATCTGTGCCTACCCTAAGTTCCAGACTTAAGGGGAGCTGGCAGATTATTTACTCCTGTACAATTTGTTCCCTCTCCAAGGCTGGGGGAATGGTTCAGGGTGCATGACAGGTCCTTACTTCTGGCCCAGGGGATGCAGCAATGGCTGAAGTCAGCCCGGGACCGTTGCAGAGCCGGGAGGGGGTAGGTAAATAGGAGGGAGGTATTTCCCAAAGTGGGTGTTTTTTGATCTGTCAGGTAGGTTAGACGCATGTACTTATCTTTTGCCGATTGAGCACCGCTTTTCACTGGTTCTAGAGGCTTGAGTAGACTGTCTACCACTCGGTCTCTCCCAATGTGGAAAACGCGTCCCAAGCGCCACTGCTTGCCTCACCATGTGCGCCAGCTGCAGGGTACCGGTTCCCGCTAAGTCAGGTCTGGCAACTCCTTGCTGCTTCTCAACTGTCTCTCCCTCCCCCTGATGCTCAGTCTGATTCCTCAACTTTGCCTTTGATGTTCAGGACTGCTAGATTGTCATATATAATTGATTCACTTTTTTTTTTGGGGTCTTTGTCGTAAGAGGGACCACAGGAGGCATCTGACTACTCCATCATCATGGCCCTGCCTCCCAAGAAGTGGTTTTCAAAACATTGGGCATCAGGCAACAAGTGGGGAACAAATGAGGAAAGCTTAGGAGTGCCCCAGCAACAGCCTGGAGGGAATTTCCAGGCCTCTACCCAGGGAGGGGTAAGACAGGCAGAGCCTGTTGGGGTCCTGAGTAAGGAGGTGGAGCTCGAGGTCCAGGGAGACCAGGCAGCTGGTGTTCACAGTGCAGAGTTCCAGAGAGGGGAAAGGTGCGAGAGGGAACCCAGAGGTCTACAGAGGGTCCCCTCAAGTATCAGCCGACTATGATCAGCGCATGAAATTAAATCAAATTAACCCAGGGGTTTGTTGATGGCTAATTAATTCAATTATGGGACATCCATGCAGTAGAACACAGTTCCTTGTTAAAATAAAGTCAACGTGCACAGTTGTACTAATATGGAGAAGACCCCTTAATGTGTTGTTATAGAATTGTACGCATTATACACCATTTTATTTTTAAGTTGATATTTTTGTTAACATATGCATAGAAAAGCCTGGAGGATGGAAAATAGTGCCAGCAGGGGGTCATCTCTGAAGAAGGGTTTAGAGAAGATTCATCTCTCTAAATTATAATTTTCTCTAATGTTTGAATTTTTTATAACAAGCAGGTGTTTACTTTTGAAATCAGGTATGAGGAATAAGAAAATGTTAACAGCTACTTAAAATTGAGCATCTCATTCGAGGCCCCTGCGGCCCAGATGGAGAGAAGTGATGGGCACACCACAAGTGTGGAGGGTACGAGAAAACTCCAGACTGGATATTCCAAAGAGACAGCTGCAAGGATGCAGGAGTATTTGGGGTGGAGAGCTAAGTAAAAGGAGTAAAATGAAAGTAAAGTAAGCAGGATCCACCAAAGGCAAAGACGGCTTGATCTGGGACGTGCGCCGGCATGACACCGAGGCCAGGAGGCAGTAGTTTGCTCACAGGTGCCTGTTCTCAGAGCTGATGCTGCTTTCCCGCTTCTTTCCCTTCCAGAGCTGTCTGCTCTTCCTGTAGCATAAAGGTGAGGCCATGTCCTTGGGGTCTGAGTGTGGCCTGACTGGGAGCTCCCGGTGGTGGGGAATGGAGGCTCTGCTGTCTCCCATAGGACTACCCCGCCCTTCCCAGGCACCTCACCAATCTTCTTCCTCCACGAAGAATCCATCCATAAACTTTCCCAGAAGTTTAGTTTTTAAAGACCCTTGTAGGTGGTCTTTTTATTTTTTTAAACATCGCATGTCAGTAAGCTGGTGCCAAAAACCCTTCATTTCCTTTCTAAAAGTCCTTCCTTCTAACATTGTGCACCTTCCTTAGGTGTTTTTGTAGAGGCTCTTCATAGCAGACCAGGATGTCTGCGTAATTGCAGGTGTCCACAGTGGTAAATGGATGATAAATAACATTTAGAAGTATGTTGCCCCATTACACCTCAACTCAGAAACAAGAATCTGCTCAAAAGGGATTTTTTTTCCACCACTTTTTTTTTTTTTTTTAACTTGCACTGTCTATCCTGCCACTTGGCAATAGAAAACTTCACCTCATCGGCATTAAACACTTACTGAGTGCAGGGCGTGATGCTAGGTCCTGTGTGGCATGAAAAGGCACATCCCCTGCCCTCTAAGAACGCCCATCTTAATAAGCGGAAAATGCAGTTGGGTGTGTAATAAACCAGAGGCACATGCTGGCCTCAGACACCAGAGGAGAGGTTGGGTGGGGGGCAGGTTGGCCTCTCCAGCTCATCACTGATGCCACTCACACCCCATGGGGGGCGCCCCATGACTGCATGTCCCCAGCTGACTGTGATGATGCCCCATCCCCTGGGTAGTCTTGTTCATACCTCCCTCTGCATTGCAGATGAAGATGCCTTCTAAGAAGTTTGCACACATCCCTGTATACACTCTGGGCTTTGAGAGTCCTCTGAGAGTTTCAAGTGCCAGAACCACACAGGCGCAGAGAAAAGATGTCTTCCAGTGAGTCCCCTTGGCCTTATAGCTGACATCACCGTGATGATCGCGCTCATAGGGGTATGGGAGCTGAGGGTGGGGCTGGCTCTGTCTCTGTTTGCTGGGCACCCCAAGGCTATGGGAAGCCAAGAGCCGTTTTGGGATACAGAAAATTGTGGAGGGCTCTCGGACACTGAGTAATTGAGAGGGAAACCATATGTGGGTGGTCAGGGCCAGGACTCATGTTCCCGTTGAGCCTTCGTTGGGCTTGTTCGTTCATTCGTTCGTTCCCAAAATCTGTGTAGACCCCAACTTTGTGTAGGGCTGCTGGCTTGGCTGGCATCCGAGCCTGCCCTCAGGGTACTGACCTTTCCACGGGGGGCAGGCCTGTAAAGCCGGAAGGAAATGAGCAGGTGCTGAGGGAGACGGTGGGGAGTGGACAGAGGCCATGTTAGGGAGGAGCACCAGGGAAGGCCAGAGGGGGTGACACTGGAGCCAAGCCAGGCCAAGGGGACTTTAAGTGCAAATACCTGGGGCTTTGGTGGCCTCCAGGTGGTGAGGCAGACAAAGGGAATAGGGATGAGGGGAGGAGGGGGATGGGAAGAAAGGGGGGAAGAGGGCAAGGGGGGAGGGGATGGAGGGGGGAGGGGTGGGGAGGGAAGAAGGGGATGAGAGGGGGAGAGGAGGCTGCAGTGACTGGGACAGGGTCGCTGTGAGTGTGGAGAGACAGTGGATCTAGTGTTCCGGTGTGGTGGGTCCTCTTGCTGAGCTGGCCCTCTGCCCCCAGGTCCCTGCAGGGGCCCCAGTGGCGGAGCGTAGAGGAGGAATTCCCCCACATCTATGCCCACGGCTGCATCTTGAAGGACGTCTGCAGCGACTGCACCAGCTTCGTGGCCGATGTGGTCCGCTCCAGCCGCAAGAGCGTGGACGTCCTCAACACCACGCCATGCCGGGCACGCCAGACCCAGTCCCTCTACATTCCCTCCACCCAGACTTTGGACTTCCAGTGACTGCCCTCCTACCGGCGGCTTTCCAGGCCCCCCGCCGGGGCACAGCAGCCCCTACCCCCTAGCTGTGCATGTACATATATACATATATAGACACATTTATATAATATATACACAGCCTCTATATTTATATACACAGTTCCTGGCCCCTCTAGTACCCTCCCTGTGGGAGGCCGTTTCCTCTCAAGATTCCTTGGTGGACGCTGGGGGAACATAGGTCCTGGGTAGAGCGGAGGATTCTAGATGGGGCCGCAGGTAAGACTGGCCCCACGCGGTTCTCGCTGCTTCCCCATCCTCCCAGGATGTCCTCCCGGAATTCTCCCTGGGTAGATGTCCAGGGTGGGAAAGGGACCAGGCACCCTACATCCAGCTGCTGTCCCTCAGAGGCTTGGGCTCAAGAGGCCCCACCTGAGGTTCATCTACCCTACATCGCAGGGACTGAGACCTGGCCGTGCCCACTCTTGCAGCCTGCTGTCTGCATCTACCCTGGCCCATCCCTGCTCCTCCTTGGCCCTCCACAGTGGGCATGTGCCCCTCTTGCCAGACGGGCGCTCTGCGCCCAGGAGGGCCTTGAGGTGCTTGGCATTCCTGGTACAGGAGGGGTGCAGTGCTGTAAGTTTGTACACACGGCCATGCTCGGCCTAATAAAGGTGGTCTTACAGTCGCTTGTCTGGGGTGTACCCTGAGGTGTGGTCCAGTCTCGCTCGGCGCCTATAGCAGGGGACATGGTTCCTGAAGGTGGAAGCTGGGCTCTAGGGGCTGCCCGCTTGCCCACCGGGACTGGGAAAAATCTTCCAGCCTATTGTTAGGTGGGGGTGCCCAGGCCATCTCCTCTCTACCAACCTCATGATGCTGGCCCAGTCTCAGTACTGAAGCCAGCAGGACTACTTCGGGACAGCAGCTCAGTCCACTGCCCAGGGCCTGTTATAGCCACATCTGCCAGCCTCGTTTCCCACATCCCTATAACTGCTCTCTTGGGCACTGTCGCAGGGTCCACATGCTCCTCGGGAATGGGGGGCTGCTCCTAGGCTCAGGGCCTGCACTGGACCCTCTGTGCTCACTCCACCCAGGAGGGGAGTTCTACTGTCATCCCGTCTTACAGATGAGGAAACAGAGGCTCAGAGTGGGAGAGGAATTTGGCCAGAGATACACAGCTTGTCCAGACTGAAGCCAGGCTACCATGAGGGAGTCAGATGTACATGGGGACGCTGTGGAAGTGAATGCCCCTAGAAAACAATGGAATAAAGTAGATTGCCCAAAGTTGTCATACAGTAAGGGTTAAAAGCCCCTCCCTTAGACCACTGTTTCCCACACTGTCTTAGTTATCTAGTGCTGCTATAACAGAAAGACCACAAAGTGGGTGGCTTTAACAAACAAATTTATTTTCTCACAGTTAGGAGGCTAGAAGTCCAAATTCAGGGCGCCGGCTCTAGGGGAAGACTTTCTCTGTCGGCTCTGGAGGAAGGTCCTTGTCTCTTTTGAGCTTCTGCTCCTGGGCGATCTTCATGTGGCTTGGCATGTCTCTTTCCCCCATTTCTGCTTGCTAGCTTGTGTTTAGTCTCTTTTATAACTCAAAAGAGATTGACTCAATATACACCCTATACTAATCCTGCCTCATCAATGTAACAAAGACAACCCATTCCCAGATGGGATTATAACCACAGGCATAGAGGTTAGGATTTACAACACATTTTTCAGGGACATAATCCATAACATCTCATGTCCTTGCCACATGCAAAACACATTCACCTCATCACATCATCCCAAAAGTCTTCAATCAACTCCAAGCTCAAAATCTTATCTTCTGAATCATCTAAATCAAATATAGGTGAGACTTTAGGTGTATTCATCCTGGGGCAAAATTCTTCATCTGTGAAACTGTGAAATCTAGATTACAAGTTATCTTTTTCCAAAGTACAATGGTGGAAGAGACAGACGGTAGACATTTCCACTACAAATGGGAGAAATTGGAGGCAAAGAAGGGATTAACAAGCACCAAGCAAATCCCAAACCTAGAACAATTTACATTAGCTCTCAAGACTTGAAAATAACTCTGTTCTCTGAGACCTTCTAGGCAATGGCCCCACCTTCCGCACTCTGGGTTTTGGCCATGCCTTCTGGATTCTGGGTGGGGGGCCCCTCTGCCCCGGGCTTCAGCTCCAACTTCCAGGCCCTCTGCGATGGCAAATCTGCTCCCCTGGCTTTGGGTGGCTCCATTCTACTCTGAGTGGTGTCCCCACTCCCTCAATCTCAGTAGGCCCCGTTCTTCTGCCCCTTGGGCATGGCAGCCCCGCCCCCTCAGCTTTGGGCAGCGGACCCATCCCCCTGGCACACCTTAATGGCAGCCCCACACTCCTGAACCGAGCTGGTGAAGATCTGACTCTGAAATCTAGGAGGCTGTGGCCACACCTTTTGAGATCCAGGAGACCATGGCCCCACCCTTTGAAATAGAGAAGGCCCTGCTTCCTGTGCTCCTTCCAACAGTTCTGCTGATCTCCAAGCTGCTCCAGGGATGGTCCTTTTCTTTTCCTGGAGGACAACAGATGTAGCTCCTTTGGCCTGTTTTCTGCCTGTAGAATTCCAAGAGGCAGACAGCATTCTTTCCTTTCGTTCTTTCTCTGTCTCCATCAGCCTAAGCTGATGGGTTTCCTGCTGTGGTAGTTAGTTAGGTTCATCAGTCACAGGCTTAATCTCTTTAACAAAGGATTGTGTAGCCACATCCTTAGTGAAAACGCTAGGACATGCGTCCTTAGTTTGTACAACAGAATTTTCCAAATCTTTAAGTTTTAATTTTGCACAGTTAATTTTTAAGTCCATGTCTTTCCTCTCACATTTTACTATAAGCAACAAGGAGAAACCACACAGCCCCTTTAAGATCTTGCTTAGAAATTTCCTCAGTTATATATCCAAGTTCATTACCTAAAAGTTCTCCCTTCCAACAAACATTTGAACATAATTCAGACAAGTTCTTTGTCACTGCATAAAAAGCATCGCTCTTCTTCCATTCTCCAATCATATGTTCATCAGTTTCTTTTAAAGCCTCACCAGAAGCACATTTAATGTCCACGTTTCTGGCAACATTTTGTTGTTGGTGCCGTATGTATTCTCTAGGACGATAGAGACTTTCTCTGTAGCTCTCCTCACTTCCTTCTGAGCCCTCACCACAATTGCCTTTGACATCCATAATTCTACCAACAGTCTCTTCAAGGCAATCTAGGGTTTTACTGTTTACACACCTTAAAACTTTTCCAGCCTCTACTCATTATCCAGTTTCAAAACCACTTCCACATTTAAGGTATGTGTTACAGCAGCACCCCCACTTCTCATTACTAAATTCTGTCTTGGTTATCTAGTGCTGCTGTAACAGAAATACCACGAAGTGGGTGGCTTTAACAAATAGAAATTTTCTCACAGCTTAGGAGGCTAGAAGTCCGAATTCAGGGTGCTGGCTCTAGAAGGCTTTCTCTGTATGTCGGCTCTGGAGGAACGTCCTTGTCTTTTCTGAGCTTCTGCTCCTGGGTGATCTTCATGTGGCTTGGCATGTCTCTTTCCCCATCTCTCCTTGCTAACTTGTGTTTAATCTTTATATTTCAAAAGAGATTGACTCAAGATACACCCCCTACACCAATCCTGCCTCATTAACATAACAAAAACACAACAACGCCAAATATAACAAAAAGCAAACTCCCAGGACCTGCCCCAAAGATTGAGAGTCCTTTGATCTTGGATGAGGTCCAGAAATCTGATTTTGAAGAGTTCTAGATTTACGTGTGCTTATTTCTAGCGGTAAACCCTGCTGGAGTAGTGGTTAAAAGCTATGTCTGCTAACCATAAAGGTCGGCAGTTCGAATCCACCACGCGCTCCTCGGAAACTCTGTGGGGCAGTTTTACCCGGCCATATAGGATCACTATGAATCGAAATCAACTGCACAGCAACAGGTTTGGTTTATTTTTTATTTTTTTAATTTCTAGTAAGAGGGTCCCTGTGTGGCGCCAACACTTTGCACTTGGCTACTAACCTAAAGGTTGGTGGTTTGAACCCGCCCAGCGGCACTGCAGAAGGAAGGCCTGGTTATCTGCTTCTGTAAAGATGACAGCAGAGAAAATCCTATGGAGCAGTTCTAATCTGCCACATGGGGATCACCATGAGTCAGAATCTACTGGACGGCAATGGGCTTTTTTTTTTTTTTCTAGCAAGGAGGGAACTGTCTCGTTTTCCAGCATGGAGTTAGGCTGCGACGAGTCGCACCTGCCAGGTCCGACAGGTGGGACGTGCAACGCTGCCGGGGGAAGGGGGTGAGGACACTCCACGCCTTACCCACCTGTCACCAGTGGATCGCCCACCTGTGCAGCCCGCTCCCTTACCCTCCCCGTTGACCTCTGAGAACCAAGGTCCAGGTCAACGGTCCCTCGCCCCCATCATAGCCCATCATCTATCGCGGGCCCCTCCAGAACACAAAGGAAACCACGATGCAGGGCTGCGGTCACAGCCGCGAGGAGGCGCCCGACTCTCGCGAGAGCTCGCCCGGCGTCCGCACCTCTGACGCCACCTGTGACGTGAGAAGCTCTGGGAGCCGCAGCACGCAGACGCGACACGCCAGCCTCGCGCCAGCGGGCCGCAAGTGCGCAGGCGCGTTGCAGCTTTCTCCACTGCTCTCTTCTTCTGTCCAGACGTCAACAGCCGTTGGGCCGTATGTCTCGCCGGGCCCTCCGGAGGCTGAGGGGGAAGCAGCGTGGCCAGGAGCCCCTTGGGCCCGGCGCCCTGCAGTTTGTCCTCCGGGAAGATGATGACGCAGAAGAAGAGGGGCCAAAACGGGGGCCAGCTGGCCGCCGTCCCCGGGGTACGGGGAAGGAGAGTGTCCGCGTCAACAACCGGTTCGAGCTGGTAAGGAGCCAAACGGCCTGGGGCAGGACGGTGGGTGGGGGCGGGGGCAGGGGCGAGGCGGACCTGCATGGGGCGGGGCCGACGCGGGCGCGACCGTGACATCATGGTGCGGGACTGG